TTCTGCGGGGAGGAGTCCCCCCTCCCCCACACCAACGAGGGAGGGAGCGCACCGGCCCGCCCATCAAACAGCGGGCCGGTGCGGGGGGCGTCCAGAAGTAATGGCTCTGCCAAGTCCTGGGCGTCCCCCAAGTAAAGCACAGCGCAGTCCACCGTGTGGTTCTAGTGCGGTAAGCCCAGCGGTCGCAATGTCAGCGGCCGCACCCGATCGCCATTAGGGGGGCAGTCCCACATTACCCGGGCCACTTAATGTAAACTCCCTTCCCGGAGGGGGGCCCGGGCCCATAAAGGATTTCCACACGTAAAAAAAAGGCCTCACGACTGCTCAACTTCAAAACCACTCACTTTGGTGGACGGGACCACCATGGATACTCCTACCAGACTCATGGCCGGCGCAACCAGCACTCTCCGAAGAGTGGAGTGCAACGGAAGCTCGCCCAGGCATTTCGCTATTGACGGTTACGCCAAGGACTGATTATCAATGGGAACTCATCTACAGGTACTCAAGCCTCACTAAACTATTGAGGGTTACAGCTCTCTGTTTCAGATTCGTCTCACGGTTGAGAAAGGTCCACGACTCATTACCTGTTAGGTACATCTCTCCAGAGACCTTGGAGAAAGCGAGGCTCTTCTGGATTCAGGCAACTCAAGCAACGTACTTCTCTCACGAGCTCAAGGCGCTACAAGCCGACTCACCGTTGGCAAAGGCACACGCATTCAACCGATTAACTGCGTACATCGACGCTCAAGGAGTCATTCGCGTCGGCGGACGACTCGCTCACGCAGCTCTCTCACTCGACGCGACACATCCTGCAATATTGCCTCGTCACTCTCAGCTGTCGTCATTGATCATCGCTCACGCTCATCAATGGACTCTACATGGAGGCACGCAGCTTACGCTGTCGCACATCCGACAACAGTACTGGATTCTCGGCGGAAGGGCTCCTGTCAAGTTTCACATTCTGCGGTGTGTCACGTGTGCTCGGCAGAGGGGGATCCGTGCTCATCAACTGATGGGCCAACTAACCTTCTCTCGAGTTACGCAGGCACGACCGTTCACTCATACAGGTGTGGACTACGCAGGGCCACTCACCGTCAAGGCCTGGAAAGGGAGAGGTGCCAAAACCACTAAAGGCTGGATTTGCGTCTTCGTCTGCTTCTCAACCTCAGCAGTACACCTCTAGGCGGTCAGTTACTACTCATCCGAAGGGTTTATTGCCGCCTATCGACGCTTCTCATCCAGACGCGGCATTGCTCATACCGTACGCTCAGATTGCGGCACCAATTTCATCGGCGCGGATACAGCTCTCAAAAGGCTGTTTATCCAGCTCACTCAAGAACATCAGCGCATTTCTCAACTGCTCTCGCAAGACAACACCCGATGGGAATTCAATCCCCCAGCGACACCTCACATGGGAGGAAAATGGGAGGCCGTCGTAAAATCAACCAAGCATCGTTTACGGCACACCATTGGAGAAAGCGTGCTCACCTGTGAGAAGCTCTCCACATTGCTCACCCAAATTGAGGCAATTCTCAACTCGCGACCTCTCAAACCATTGAGTGACGACGCAGACGACATCTCAGCACTCACGCCAGGTCACTTCCTCGTCGGAAGTCCTCTCACCGCCATACCAGAGCCATCATTGACCTGGCAATCTCAAGACTCGCGATGGCAACTCATCCAGCAAGAAGCACAACATTTTTGGACACAATGGTCATCGCATTACCTACAACGTCAACAAGCCGTCTCAAAATGGCACCACAGGAACAACGAGATCAAGATCGGATCATTGGTGCTCATCACCGACGAGCGGCTACCACCATGCAAATGGCCGTTAGCCCGGATAATTGCCCTACATCCTGGGAAGGATGGCCTCGTGCGGGTGGTGACTTTGAAGACGGCCACTACCACTCTCATTCGACCAGTGATCAAGCTCTCCGTCCTGCCAATTTCATCATAAGATCAGGGATCATCAACTACGTTGCTGATGGCGGGCGGAATGTTCGAGATTCATTTTTGAATCTCGGTCAGTTCGTCACCGGCGTGATGGCAGCATCAGCCGGGTCAGATCGTGCAGCGCCGCATGAGCGCTGCTCGCGCATGCCCGATCGCGACACGAGGCGACGGCGCGACTTCACGTGCGTTACCGGCGCTTTTGGCTCATGGCAACCGTACGTAGTACACGCGTCTTGTAGTGCAAAAGATCTTCGAGTGCTCTTGTGGACCAT